AGATACTGCTCTGATTAATCACCTACACACACAGACGCACATACAAACATAAAAAAAAACAATAGATACACACAAACACACAGAGAGAGAGTGTAATTCAAGGTTACGGTCCAGTTGTCTTTACCTCTGAGTACATGAGTAGGTGACATTGTTTTGTTGGAGCAGGGGGGTGTTTGTAGCTAGGGATTTTTGTGTGTGTGTGTGTGTGTGTGTCCATGAGTGTGTGTGCTCACTGTACGTCCTGTGGGGGACAATATCCTCACCAGGTATTAAAAGATACAAAACAGCAAAAAGAGTGTATGCTATTTATAAGCACTGTATTTATTTTTTGCACAAGTTCCAAATACAAATTGTAGAGAACTCTTAACTTTACAGGAAATAAAAGGCCTTCTGGTTGCATGTTCTTGAACGTGAATGCAGCAGTGGCCAGCAAATGTCAGCGTTTTTGTAATATCTTGGTTAAAAAAAAAAAAAAGGCTCGTATTGAATTTTAGAAGCAGACAAAGAATAAGAGGATGGTGAGTTTTTAGTGACAATAATCTTGAAGTCCTTTTAGAGAGAAAAACAGGGACAAGATGACCCATTTTTTTAAAAAAAAGAAGAGACAAGGAGGCTGGTTCCATTGAAGCTACTTTGACAAACCACGACAAAGCGGAGGAGGCAAACGAGAACAGAACACCAAAATGGGATTTCAAAACCCTAACGATCAAAAAACCCCTGCTGAGGATACCGTCCGTATTTTACATTTTCATATCTGAATGCAAGGTTCACCAGGGTACTGTCAGGAAACATCACACATCACTAAAGGAAGAATCTCAGTACATTTTCCTGGTAATCCACTCAGTATCACTGGCCTCTCAGTGAGCATCTGGTGTCAATCTTATGTTTGGATGTGACCAAGTTAATACTTTCAGAAACCTGTTTTAAGGGCAGAGTAATTATTACTTACTGCTATGCTGTTCTTTCAGTGCAAAAACCAATAAAAATGTAGAATGTAGAAGGGGTCGATTATAGGTGTGAATCAATTAAGACCTGGCTCTCAGTTCTTTAAAGATTTAGAGCTTCTTTCTACATCATTGCTTTGGTTTTTAGGCCCACGACTGTACTGTTCTGGTTCACGGTCACTGCTCTCACCGGTGTCGTTTGCAGCCACATCTGCCAGCTGTTTTCAGCTGAAAGACTCTAGAAGTCCACAGTACTCCTGTGTTAGTCAAATCTAACAGCTTTGGTGCTGTCGCAGGTTTCAGTTCATAATATTGGCAACACGGTTTATCCCTTGTTAGCCCCTGTCACTGCAACAGCAAAAATATTCTGCATCATGTGTGTAACATATAGGACGATCTGTTGGCAGAAATTGAGTATGATATTCATATTCAGGGATTTTTTTTATTAGTGTGTAATCATATGAAAATAGAATAGCTGTGGTTTTGTTACGTTAGAATGAGTCATTTTAATTACAGAAGGAGCTGGTCCACAGGAGCCATATTGAACCACCATGTTTCTACACTAGCCCAGAATTGACACACCAGCCACTGGCTCTAGATAGGGCCTTTTGAGTTTTTTGCAGGTTTTGTGGCTACTCCTTCATGCTTGGAACAGTAGGGTGAGGTGAGGGCATAGCAATCAGCAACAACACCACTAAATGCCACTAAATTCTACAGTCTGGAAATGTTTGGTAATCTCCTCTCTGTGTGGACTTTAAATGCTGTTACTGTGTTTCAGTTTGTCCTGACTCCATTATTTCTTTCCTGACCTATGCCCTGTATATTGAGGGATAGGCTCTAGCTTAGATAAGCATTAAAGGATAAAAAAAGTGGATGGAAGAAAATTGTCGACATTTTAGCACATGCCCAGGACTTGTTGACATTGTAGATTAAGCCAGATCCAGACAGATTCAACAAGATCTCACAATGTGTCTCCAGATTTTACAATGAACGTTTCTTTTTCCGTTGTTGTTTCTCTTTGATCCATCCTGTTGGATTTCTTCCAAACTGCATACTCCTGCACAAATAATAAAGACTTGAAACACATTATTTCACTTGTTCTCATCCAAAAATATCTATTCAGCTTCATTCTTCCTCTGTTTGACCCAGTACAGTGTGTGATCTGAACTGCTTGCTTCCTGTGCTCAACCTGTCTTTTTTTTTAGATATGTGGCCAAATGTTAATTTGTGTTTTGGTGTGTTTGCTGCATGTTAACTGAACTGTATTTCCATTATTCTGACTAGTTGTGTCTCTCGTCATCTTTAGAGATTTTCTATTTGTAGGTGTTTATTGCATATTGGCTGCAGTAAGAACTAGAGTTTATACACGTGTGCATGCTAATGTCAGAAACAAAGCAGGTATGATATGGTTTGAATAATAAGGAAATTAGATGTGCTACTAAATGGGCTCGACAGGGACGCACTCCCTGCGGAAAATTTGTTTTGGTTTTGATTTGGGAAGGTCTGTATCACAAAGAGATAGAAAACAAACTGACAGCAGCGACCAAAAGTGGAGGCAAATTTAATGTCAGCGAGACACACAGATAGAGAGGACAGCGGTAAAAGTTACAAGTCAAATGCCTTTTAAACACAGGCATAGTCACTGTCACCCTCGCGAGCCTTCAGTGTCCGCCCCAATGACAGAGCGAGACTGAGAGAGCGAGGGAGAGAGCAAGGTAGAGCAAGTGTAATGTCATCTCTGAAAGTGAGCGAGGTAAAGGCTGCGACCTGTGTATAGCTCGCAGTGCCTGACAAAATGACTGTTAACAATGTAATTACATCACTGTCTGGCAGACAGCCCAGCCCTGCCTAACCCAATATAATGCAACCAGCTTGGTCAAAGTAAAGTCTTACAAGAGACACACAAGCACTGCCTAAACCAATACAGAACAAGATGCCTCCCTATTCTGTGGTATCCTTGAGAACCTTGGGAAATGAAGGCAAAGTCAGTGTGGCATTAACTCTGGCTGAAATTCTCTCTCACACCAATTCTCTCTCCTTCTTCACTCTAGCTGTGGTGCATTTCTTTGTTTTTCTGAAAATGTGCTCAAACTCGCCATAAGCACGTATTTGACAGCCACCAAAAAAATAGCTGTTTAGGTCATTTGTGGGAGCTGCTTATTACGACCAATATTTACATTTATTGTTAGGCTGTGAACTTAGTGGCCGTAGCAATTACGACGGGAGCAAATAGGAAGTCAGGTGATGTAGTGTAAAGAGCGACAAAGTCTGTGTATGGAGGGGTGGATGGATGGATGGGTCAAACAAACATACACTTCCACCCAAGTGTCTCATGTGACCCCAAAGGTCAATGTTGACCTATTTTAACTCACGTAGTTAAGTTAACTTATATAACGTACTTAACATACATATTTTAAAACCAAACCATGATCTTTCCCCAAACCTAACCAAGTAGTTTTGGTGCCTAACCCTAACCAAACTGTGAACTTTTCACAATGTTAACCACCTGAAAACAAAGGTCCAATGTCACAGAAGTCTGGTACATGTATGGCGTTTTGGGAGTCATTGGCACTCAACCTATTCAGTCATTTAGGTATGAGAACGTGTTGGTATTAGAACGTCTAACCCCAGTTGGGTAAAGTAGGGCGACTTTTCTTTCTTGATGGTTGCTAAGGTGAATCATAGCATCGGAACTCAATTGATGATGGCTTTTTATAGTTGAGTGAACAGAGTTAATTGACTTAGATCAGCTGTACTGGAAACAAAAACTCAGTTTCCCTTCTTAGGGTTCATCGGCTCAGAGTTCAAGGTTAGGACCCCCGATGAATACACATTTATTTAAGCACCATCTATATTTTGATTAACTGAGTAGATAATCAAAAGTTCAGTTACTGATTCAGCATTCACATTTTCTACTCTTGGCCATCTCCATTACTATCATATGATAGATGATACCATCTTCCTCTGGTGTATTTTCTACATTGTCAGATTACACATCTGCTGTAGTGTTAATCACAGTATGTATTATTTGAATGGTACAACTGTGTACCAATAAGAAGGCTAGATAATGTGTTGCATGCAATAGTTGAAAAAAGATGGACTATTATTCATAGAGGGGGTCACTAACGTCATGATAGCCAGATGGTGGGTGTTTCCATCATGATCTTATGTAATGCACATAAAGGTAGTGTAGGCCTGTGTTATTATGGAATATTAGTACATGGATTAAAGAGTAATCTCAAAGAGAATGTGTCATACTGACGTTTATCAAAGCCATGACGGGGGCTTAAAGGTGGGTCACAGGCAAGATGAACGAATATCTTATCAGAGGAATGGTATTGACTGTTATTTACGCACGCAATCAGCATTTAAAGCTGCTTAGTGCTGGTGTATTATCCATTCGCTTCAGAGACAAAACAATATAAAAGACTTAATTTAAATTAAAAAGTCTCTCCCATTGTCATGTTCAAAAGGTTTTAACAGGTCTCTTAACACTTTTATATAACGCAGCTGCATCCCCGTGTAACTTTGGCAATTCTGCATTTTTGGCCACACATGACATGGGCTGAATTGAGTACATGGGCTGAATAATGATAATCTGCACACATAATGTATAGGCATGTGTGAATTGGTCCATCAGAATGTGTGTTGTAATTTTGTGTGTGTCTGTATACACAGTGTATAAATAAACATAGCGTATGCCGCTCAAGGGGCAGAGCAGAGCACTAACACTGCCAGTTCAGTGGGCTCAGCTCCACTGGGGCCGGCCATACTGAAAGTATGTACAGTACAGTACCCAGTGAACCCTGAGAGGCTTTGGATAAAAAGCCTCCACTTAACTGCTTTGTATACAAGTGTTGTATTATGTGATTGTTTTTATAGCCCACTACCACTATGATCCATGAAGTGCACATAAATCTGAGTGATCATTTTAGATGCAATAAGTCACTTGTATGCATTAGCGCATAACTCATTTTGTTCAATTCAAGCTCTTTGCAGGGATGCAGTGACTGAGAACTAATACTTAAGCCATACTGTTTGTGTTTTCCCCCATAGGATTGCAGTGAGGACGTCATAACTGAACATGTGAGTTACATATGGATGTTAATTAGTTCCGAGGCCACTCACTTAGGCTGAACAGGCCACTGGTTTCACACCGTATAGGACTGAGAAATAAATGAGAAAATCCACCTTAAAGCCCAACTTCCATAAACCACTGCTACCACTCTATCTTCAGTTTGTAAACATAAACAGATGCCCCCCCTTTACACAAATGTTCACAAATCTAAATCCAATTTTTCCGAGATGATTATGACTAAATGAGCAAAAATCTGTGCTGGATGTGTTTTAATATGTATGTGCCTGCTGCTTTATCAGGCGAGATGCAAATGTGTGTAGAAAAGCAGTCAGAAGCACTTTAACTGCTAATGAGACTTGTGAGTATTGATACACGTTTCAAATGTTTGGAATGGATTTTGGCCCTATAGTTAAGCATTTTCCAATGCTCTGGGTGTAGAAAAACATTTTCCAACTAATGCCCAATAACTCACAGATCTGGTCGGCTGCTTCTGAATTACAGGATTGAGTTTAGATGGAAGTAATGAGTCAATATGTGAGAAATAGACCTGCTCAGTTGCAATCCAAACCACATTATGTATGGAAATAGTTTCCATTGGGCTGTTGTGGTTTTCTGTGGGTATGTGTGTTGCTTTTTGTTGTTGTTAATTATTATTAGCCTATGTGACCTCATCGGGAAGAATATCGACAAGTTAATGCATGATTATGAATATGGTTTGTGCTTGATGACTAATCAGACCAAGTTGGATAGAGCCTGTTGCAGTATGTTCCAGGTCAGCTGGTGTTTGCATTTGGGAGATAAGATATTGATTGGTATTGAAAGATTTGAAAAATTTTCCTTCTGATTTAGTGATGGCCCATTGTTTTCAATAAGGTCATTTTAAAAAATGTTTAATATTTGCAACTACCTCCTCTTAAGGCTTAACTCAATTTATGACGGCATCGGTTATTTCTATCGAGCTTTCCCTGGCTGGGTCACAAATGGGATGCAAAATTAGTTTTTAAAATCACAATATGAAAACTTAAAAAGAAACTAAATATAGACACACACAACTTTAATTCAGTTAAAAGTCACTGCTTTGTAACCGTCTCCTGTCCTCTATCCATCTTCAAGTGACAATATTACTGTTCTCCAGGAATGGTCACCCTTCAGTATGATTTCCCCGTGGGTGCTCACAATTTCCCCAGAGTGTCTGAGCGCCTCACTCACTTCAATTCCCCATACACCATCTTATGCCATTTTAGTTTTCATCCTCCTCTTCTTCCCTTTTTGTCAATTTCTATTTTGGAGAATTTGCTCAGTTTTGGCTTTTTGATGGTTGCCTAGCATCAGGAGTCATCACAGTCCACCTATTGTCAAAAGTGTTTACTCAGTTGTCGAGTAAGTGCTCCTTTCTGACAGGCAAAGCCAAAGAATGCAATCTGGAGAGAAAATTCTTACATGGATTGTCCAAGCTAGTCTTCAGACCCAAATTGAGATTGAAAATTGAGATGAAATCCATACACTGATACCAGTACAACCATGTAGCTGCACTACCGTGTGTGTGTGTGTGTGTGTGTGTGTTGGTGTGTGTGTGTTTGTGTGTGTGCTGATTTTCCATCTTTTTATCTTTCTCAATGATCCCGCAAAAACTCTCCATCCTTGAATACTTCTTTTGCTCTTTGGTCAAAGATGCAAACTTGGCTGGACTACATTCACTACTTCTGTCCCAGATACACACACACACACACACACACACACATCAAAACACACTGCTGTAGAATATATTCTGGCCTATTTTTTCAAAATAATGGGATATGCAGTGTGTGTCTGTGTACTTGTCTGATGTCCTTTGAAGTCCACTGACGTTTTGTAGGGAGATACATGATTATGCACACACACACACACACCACACACACACACACACACACCTATACATAACATACACTGTGCGTGTATGTGTGTGTAGGCTGGCCAGTTTCACAGGGCTTCAGATCAAAGGCATTTGTGTCTCTGTGGTGGACCGTCTCCTCTCTTTCTTCTCCAACTATTTGCAGGTTTTTTCACAGGGGTTGCAAAATTGATTTTGGTTGAAAACTAGTCCTGTCTCAGGAGCTGGGACTGGAGATATCAGGATCACCTAGAGATGAAAAATGAGTTAAGCAATATTTATGTTGCAGATGGTTGGAAATATCACAAACCTCATGTTCTGGACAAAATGACGGAGAGTTCACAGAGAGCTTCCTCAAAGCTGTTGGCCCTGAGAATTTCTGATGTTTCATTAAAAGCACAGAAACCTCAAAATCCTAAATAGGTGTTAATCATGATTGTTGTCTTGCCAGCAGCCTTTAGAAACATCCTCAATTGCTCATATGTCCTTTACTTCTTTCCTTTCGTAAGCATTATCTTTATTTTGTAGTTCAGACATGATGTTTTAAAATAGTTTGTCATTGTTTTGTCAAACCATTGTTTTACAGACAGAATAGTCAATTTACAGCCATCATTAGTGTTGACAGAAGGTGGCTTATGTGAAGTATGGAACATTGCAATGGCTAAAACAGGTGGAACCTTTTAACTATAAAACTTTCACAGACTTTATTTCAAGCGACAGTGATAAAGGATGGATATACAACTGGGCTAAAACAAAAAAGGAGGAGAAAATAATAGTGTACGAGGAGGATGCTGCTGCTATATTGTAGGAGTTTGTTTTTTTCCTAAAAGCAGCAATGTATCGGCTCGTTTTACTATTCCTTTAGATATGAGGCTGTGAAAGCTGGTGTTCAACTTGTGTGCAGTCCAGAAAAGCAGCAGCCTGGTTCATCTCAAAATGTTGGTCTGCTGCATATTTCCAGTCAGCTCTGATGCTTTTACCCTTATGTGTCCTCACCAAAAAGCAAAAACAACTGCTCTACACAATGAAGGGTGAATAACGGTGAGTAACAAAGTGTGCTGAACGTGTCTCGTTTGCGTCATTCATCACTTTATGAGGACAGTATAACAGTGTAAAAACACAATTTGATGAGTAAGTTTACTTTCATGGTGCTAAAACACAGAAAAAAAGAAAGTGGTCCTGCATTATGACATTCCATATACCCTGCCACACATCTACTAATATATAATGAAAGAGAAACATCTCTAATTCTTCATGTTTTCACAAAAACAGTACATTTAATAGATGTTTTGGCCCCATCTATCTCCATTCTCCTGCAAATGTCGCTGAGACCCACATGCTACTAACTTCCCCTAACATAGCCAGACCTCCAGATTCAAATATCAAACATGTTTGCAGTTAAACATATACCGTATATATTGACTTTAATGGTTACAAACATAACCCTAGCTCTGTAGCTAAGCCTTGCTGTCTCTGTTTACACTTTAATGCTGCAGCCATTCATTATGAACTGCAAACAAACACATCTATAATAGGTGTCCAGTTCTACTATCTGGTTATTAAAAGTAAATCCACACCTGCCAGCCAATCAGAATTGATCGTTTTTAGTGGCCATGGTATACGAGCAGTTGATCCATAATTCTTAAAAAATTCTTGGGTTTGGGAGTCTATTATACAACGAATGTCTCCTGGCAAAAATCTGTATACGGCCTCAAAATAAATGTTCTACATACGTGTTTAACACTGTCATTCAGCTCCTTCTTCTTCATGTCCCTTCCTTGTTTTGTGAACAAACCATCTGTTTGGCCGGCCTGTGAAAATGTATTCAGCCTGACATATCACCGAAATGCAGCTCAATGGACTTAACAGTCTGGAACAAATAACAGTATTATTCTGAGTGGATTACACTTACGCATGCCTGGACCACCTGTTTCATGAAATCAAAATGGCATAAATCCTAAATGAAATAAATAAGTTACAATGAAATAAATAAATGAAAGTTTATTTCACCGCAAGGGATTAAGTCTGTGCTGACTTAGCGAGTGAACTGATGGAAAATACTAAACAGCTGTCAGGTTGGCCGTCTGGCACTGCTGTTTTAAAGAAGTGGATGTTCCTGTCAGGATAACCTCTTCAGGGTCTGAATTGCCTGTAAATTCCCGGACTACCTGGTGAAAGAACTGTGGTTGTGACTTGGCTGGCTGCAATTGCAACGCTCATCCACGCTTCAAATGGGTCTGCAGCAATTTGAAGACTGGCGATAAGTCACTCTCTGAAAGAGATATAAAGGAGGCTGTGTGGCCAAGTTGTTCTGTAGGGAAATGATCCTGCTAGATTCAAGTCTAATTCATTTCTACAGGGGAAGATTCTGTGTATATAATTACCTAATGCAGATGTCAGTGACCAAGATGAATTTACCATGCTTATACTAGAGGATGTATTTATTTTGGTTAAATAATATGCAATTTCAGTCTTATATTAGATTTAATGGACTTGTGCAATTATAGAAACCGGGAAAACTCTATGTGTCTACAACCTTTTGACCAGCACCTTTTGCTATGATGAACAAGACTTAAAAAACACAATATCAGTCTGACTAATAAACTCATACGATAAGACAGTGGGAGAGACGGGTATCAGTGTGTTAAACAGATTCTGTGTCAGTGCAACACTCTAACGGAGGTGCTGTATCTGGAGCTGACAGCAGCTCTGAGACATTGTTTGCACATTTGATTGGATGCGCGTGTCCTCGGCCCTTCTTTCTGTGTATAGAAGAACTATAATGTTCACCGGATATGTTCAAACAAATGAACTAAATGTTCATACAGTCTGCACAGATAGTTATGTCTGGTTGAAGGCTGAAAGCGAGGTAGCTAATTAAAGCAGGGACCAAGGGATTTGGAGTCTCTTGTAATTCTGCTGAGTGGGAGTTTATTGTTTCCAAAACAGTGAATATGTATTGGAGAATGAGGTTTGAAAACCAGACGTCTCAGCACTTGGCCAAGAAACTGTTGAGTCACTGGTATTGATCAGCAATTTGCCACCCTCCCTCACATTACTGTGATCATTCTGTGCATCTTTAAATGTAACATGCATCTGTGTCAGCAGGTAACACATCAAAATACTCTCATGGAGGAG